GAGTTAACGGTAATTCACACTCTCCATTTGTAAATAATTAAAAATCATATAAGGACTGGACAGGCATATCACTTTTCCGCTTATTCTGTTTGCATCGCAGTTCATCTGTTTTAGTGATTCACTTATAGGCTTAGATTTTGTCGGTCGCACATCAGTCTGTACTGCGTTTCCTGCACTTCATTCATGCGTTCCCTTCTACACTTCATTCATGTGTTTCCTTCTGCACTTCTTCATTCTATAAAATGATTAACAAGGGCTAGGACTAAGGGAGAGAGTTGCTGACAGCTGGATCAAAATTATGTGTTGTATGCGGTAGAACCTCAAAAGTAAACTTGCGGTGAGGACAACCATATTTTGGGTATCCACTGTCACGCAACCACCACTCTTTCGGCAGCAAGCTTCGGCGTTTTATACAGTTTGCTGGTTCAGGCTTATTTGCTGACGTTTCATTTTAAGCTACAGGTTTAATTGTAGAGTCCTCTTCCAGGTATTTTTGGAGTTCTGGCCCGTTTTAGTCCCAAAACATGATTAATGCTGCTTTTCTTATAAAGAATTGAGTCTTAAATTCCTTCACTGATTTGAATTCTGAATTTTTCCATTTTGCACTGCGCAAATTTTGGATTGTGGCTCAAAAAGGTTTCATCTGAATGGTGGCAAATTGCTGCCGATTAAAAAACTGAAATGTTCTTGATCGAAATAAATGATTTACGGAAGAGCTGCGCGAAATATTTTGAGCGGTGTTTGAATACAGGTCGCGAGCAATGGTTCAGCGCCAGCACCGAAAAATAATCGCCTGCTTTTACGTCGACGCGGGGAAATTGTTGGTGAGCGAACAGGACGCGGCTTGCTGCGTATTTATACTTGTCGATGGTGCCCTTATCAAACACGACTGTGTACTGAACTTCATGTACATTACAAGTTAGTAGTAATTCGGATTTTGCTTACAGTTATAATTGTAATCGCTTCCATGCGCATCTAAATGTTTGTCTAAATTTTTTTGCGAAATGCTCCAAATAGACAGGATATATCATGGATATGCGTATAAATCCGGAACTGGAAATGTTCATGTCTGGGAAACAAATAGATAGTAACGAATAAAAGTAAACTAAGAGGAATAAACATATAGAAGTAGCAGTAGAAATATGGATTGGAAAAAATCATGAATTTGAATATTTTACTGTTATGTGCAGTCCAGGATCGAAGAGCCTAGCATGGTCGCACCTGAGGTACAGGAGCATCCCAGTAACATCACTAACATGGAACAGTCACATTTATAGCCTGGAGCGATCTTTGTTTTCCTGATTTTGTTAAGTTGGAAGTTGAAAAAGTTGAAAAAAAAAGAAAAAAGTTAAAAAAGAAAAAGATTGTTAAGTTGAAAAGAGAAAAGATTGAAAAGATTTTGAAAAGTTGAAAAGAAAAAAGCTTCAGTCTGTTTGTTGGATAAAAGCGAGAGTTTATCGAACGCATGCAGAATCAGCAGAAGTCAGGTTCGTTTCGGTGGCACCAAGGACCGATAACATGGAAGTAGCGCAGCGCGGCTTCCTAATATCCTCCGGCTTACTACTTTGAGAGCTGTGGATCAGAATAAAACATTCCATTGTGCATAAAGGATATTAAAGTATGCAGAAAGTAGCAGCTCCGGCCGATTTTTGTTCATTCCATTATTTTCCTGGATAACACCGTGACTACAAATGTTGCGGTAGACTAACCGACTGCTGAAATGAGCTTTTTTTTAGGAGTCACGTTGAAAATGGCAGTTTGTGCTGCAGTAATTGCTCATTCAAAACATCTATTGAGTCGAAATTGCGAGAACACATGGAACTACATGGGGAAAAATCTCCAGTATCAGCTTCTGCTTTAAAAAGAGAAAAACAAGAGAAAACCTCAGGCAGCGAATACACTTGCCAGTGAGTTCTACGTCGGTCTTTGGATGCAGTAGTAATTAGAATATTACAAAAAAATTCTGATGTTGAAGGATTTTGTATGAAATGATCGGCCGAATATTGACCTCATTAACCTCATTAACTCCTCAATGTTGCTCAAATTAAAGGAAGGCTGGGCACCTGTTTTAGCACTGAATTCACTACATGCTTATCCGTTTAATAATCCTCCTGGCGAATTTAGCGTGGTAGTAGTAAATTGAAGATTGATACTTCGATTTCACAGAGGAAAAAAAATCTCTAAGCCAATTCGTTTTGGTAGTAAATTGATGCTGGCTATATCAAGGAGATAAACCCGCCATTGGCTTTCTTCTAAACGGGGAGTGATTGACAGTCTTGCCAGCGAGTGATTGCTGGTAGCATTTGCTACCACGCAGACTGTTCCCAAGTTTTTGAGTTTGACGGTATCCAGTACATTTTGGAAACCTCGTTTTTTCAACGTCATCCATTTCAGGGATTGTCCATTTTCGACCAATGCATACGGGAAATTCTGGCACCACCGGCAACACCACAGCAAAAAAATGCCTTATAATTGCGATTTATGCAGCTATGGCGCCGGGACAACCCATTGCGTGGCAAGACATCGCTTGTGTCACGCTAGTGCTGCTGAAAGCAAAGATGCTGGAGAAGTTGACAATTCAAAAACGGAAGAGCAATCGTATGTTTTTGTGAACGTTTAACATTGTCCGGTGTAGTGAAAATCACGATAACAGGATTGTTTAGTGTGCCATTCCAGTGCTAAAACATTCAAAAGTGAAAATTTTTCTTCGAAACTCTCATAAATTTTAGCCGTAGCGTCTTCTCGCGATGTGAAAGTAGCAACTAACCAGACAGCGTCGAGGATTCGGGGAAATGTAAACTGTGACAAACCTAAGCATGCTGGGAGAAATCCTTTTTTTGCCCAGCCGTGTTGCGATAATAATGAAACAGTAATGCCGCCATTATGAAGCAATGCAGTAAAAATGTAAAATTCAGACTGTCTATAGCATTTCCAGGACAAGTGTAAAATGAACTTCCTAAGTACTTTTTGGACCTATCTAACGAAGGTCAGCAATCCCTTGGATGACAGGGCACTTGCTGATCTTCGTTGTCTTATTAATCAAGAACGAGCCCATCTGCGCTTAAAGAGTAACTCCATCCAAACAGAACACTAACTCCTCTGACGATTTCGATTCAAATTTAATACTTACTCAGTTTTTTGTGCATCTTTGTCATCCAGTGGCAAGGCTGTCAGTTGGTCTTCGAACTGTGCGCAACGAGCGAGCTTAGGCCGATTTCTCTTTCGGGTACCTTGAATACAAAAGATACCAACATATATCGGATAAGGGCCGGGAAGTGCTATCTACTCGAGGTTCTCAAATTTAAAAATTCCTCCATTTGCGCCATCATACCAGAGATTAGGCGGAAATTATACCCTTTTTGACATTCTTGTTTTACCGCTGTTTTACCTGTGCTGTTAATTTTCTTTTATTAATTACGGTAACCGGAGCTACACTCACTGCTTGGTATTTGGCTGGGGTTCATTACTGCGCTTTTCGTTTTCATTTTTCTCGGGAATACTGCTGAATATACAATATTTTTTGCATAATTTGCATAACCCTGCAGCTTTTCAGCTTGCGATTCTGTTTACATTTGTCTTAAAAATGTCTGTCGGTCATAACTGTGTACGAATTCACAGCACAATATTTCCAACTTTTCTCAGAAAAGTAATGACTAAAAATAATTCCAGGAGGAGCAACGAAGCAGGAAAGCCGAAGAAAATGGAAGATGCTGAAAATGAAGCAGAACCTTTGCGTTTTGAGGAATCGCCTAAAACAAAACTCGCTATTCTCAGGCAGCTCCATGATGAGTACCAACAGAAAAAGAGACAACGTGAAATTGCAGGTAGCATTGAAATTTTGTCGCATCAGTGCTTCTGAGTTTCCTAAAAAAAGATCAGAAGAGGTATATTAGTAAGCTGCAAGAAAGAGAAGAGGACGATCTAGGCTTTTTTTTTTCAAAGCATCCTGAAAATTTTTGTTTTGGATTTGTTTAATGGTAGTCATTATGTTTATTTTAAACTTGTTTTTTTTTGCATAGAAGCCTCAGTGCCAGTGCTGCAGTGTGAAGAGTGCCCATATTCCACAAAGAACCAGGTGCTTTTCGATTTACACAAAGATATGCACGAGCGGCCTGGTGGAAAAAAACGTCCACATGCTTGCAATATATGCTCGTTTAATGTACGGAGCCCAGTGGCTTTACAACGGCACCTGAACCTTCATATACCAGCTGAAATTCGATCCAAGTTCGTACAGTTTTTCATTGTTTTTCTCGTGATTTTTTTACTTCTTTCTTCATTATTTTCTACTTAGCGGACAATTTCTAGTATGCGGCTTGTTGATAAGTGTTGGTGATGTTTATCCATAAGTGATATTGCGATCAGTTTGTTTCTAAGCAACTCTCGAAAGAAGTCATAGACATTTTTATCATCATAGACAGTCTTGCTTTTGGCTCGTACAGCTACTCCCCCC